CCATCTCCCCTTGGTGGTGGTGGGGGGGGATTTCCCCCTTTCTGTCTCTGTCTCTCTCTGTCTTTCTGGCGAGCGCATGTGCCCTATAGCAAAAACCTATCCAAAATAAGAAAATAAATAAATAAAAATTATTAGTTATAGTTGTCTTTATTCCTATCCTTTGGTGTGCATATTTTTTTTTCTTTTTTTAAAGAGATTTTTTCCTTAGGGCATGTGTGCTAACTGAAGAGAGAAAGAGTCAGAGACAGTGAGAAGGAAAGTGAGACATCATCCCCCAGAGGAGACTGGCCACACAACAACAATAATTTCTCCTCCATTCTCCTGGGATCATGGGCACGCATACACACACCTGGCATGATTTTCAAGCCACTGGTCCGGGACTTGAACCACAGTTAGCCCTGTGGCTATGCCATCTGCTAGCCCCTGGGATAAGTTTTTAAACTTGATAAATTTCAGTAAACCAGGACCAGCGGATGGCGTAGTGTTATGCACTGGACTTCCACATAGTCCACTGTGGTTTTAGTCACAGACCCAATGGCTTAAAACTCACAACAGACATGTGTGTATACATGCCCAAGATCCTGAGAGGAGAACAGAGAAAAGGCATTGTGGTGTGGCCATGCACCCTGGGTGGGGGGGATGGGGGGGTAATTTTTTTTTTTTTTGCTTTCTCTCTGCCTCTCTGGTAACACATGTGCTCTGTAGCAAAAATCTCTCTAAAAAAATTAATAAATCAAATGCTTTTGTGCCCCACCTTGTAGAACGCAGCCTATTGCAGGAACATAAAGAATATCATCTTTTTCTTTTCTTGCTCATTTTCGTTCCCTAGGAGCTTAAAAATTGTAGCTTTTATTTGCATTATCACTAAGTAATTACTCTATAGTTTGAGGTAAAAATGTAGAGTTTTTTTCATTATGTCACTTGATAAGAAAGTAATCCTTTTCTCATTAAATTGCCTTGTTGTTTTTTTTTTGTTAGAAACCAATAGAATAATTCCCCATGTATCTATTTTGAACTATTTTATATCTTGGATTTCTTAGTGTCTCCTCAGGCCAATACTATACTACCTCAATACTCTAGTTCCAATGTAAATCCTACATCAGGGAAAATCCTCCAGTTTTGTTGTCCTTTTTGATTTCACTATTTGGGTTTCTTTGTAGTTTAATATACATTTTATAATCACCTCGTCAGTTTCTACAACATGATTAGAAATATGAGGAAGAAAAAAGATATAAAAATAAAAACCCTTATGACACATGAATGTGTTATAACTTCCTATTTATTTAGTGCTTATTTCATTTCTCTCTATAATCGTTTTAGCTTTCATCATAGATATCTTGTATTTTTTAAATTATTCTGAACTGTTTTATTTTTCTGAAGTATTTTTATACTATTAATATCATGCTTAATTTCTTTTTTTCAGATTTTTCATCTTAAATTGTATCCTCTAACTAGTTGTTTCTATATTATAAAATACCATGAGTTTTTATAAAGTTACTTTGTATCCTGGGACTTTATGAAATTGACTTGCTATTTCTACTAATATATTTTATAGATTTCTGATGAAAATTCATGAAGCAAGTATGTCAAAACCATATTACTGCTATATTTTCCTATCTTTATGTTGTATTTATTTTTCTTGCCTTATTGCACTGGCAAAATATTTTCAGTAAAACAATTAAGAGAAGTGGTAAGTGTGAAAATCTCCCAATTTTAGAGAGAAAAAATTATACTTTAACCAGTAAGTATTATATCTCCCTTAGATTTCTGAAGAAATTCTTTATCAGATTGAAGAATTTGCCTTTTATTTCTATTTACTAAGTATATATCATGAATGGGTAGTAATTTTCCAATTGCTTGTCTGTATTTAGGTAGATAATCATATATTTTGTCTCTTATAGTCTAGTAATACAGAGAAATACACTAACGGAACTAGAATTCTGAATAAATATCACATCCCTGAGGAAAAATGTCTCTTGGATTTGAGATAATATTTTTATATATTACAGAATTCAATTCATTATCATTTTTTTCAAGACTTGTGTGCATATTTAAAAAGAATATAGAATCACAAATCATTTTTAATATAATGGTTAGTTTTTAATATCAAGAGAAAGATAACCTCCATAATGAGATAAACTTTTCCCCCTCCTCTTATATTACCAGTTTGTGTATTAATTTTTTATATTATATCTTTTTTAAATATTTTATGAACTTTATCAGTATAGTATCTGATCTGGGAGTTTACTCAGGGACTAAGTTTTTATTTATAGTTTAAAAAATTTGATATGGGTCTATACTATTTATATATTTTTTTCCTTTTGGAAAGTCATGCTTTTAAATAAGTTTTCCCACTTCAATTGGGTTGTCAAAATTATCGATATTAAACTTTTTCAAATATTCTAATTACCATTCAATGTTTGAAGAATATATTTTTAAAAATTTATTTTATACACTTAATCACTGTACATCAACACATCTTATAAAATGAATTTTCCCAGCATGAACACACTACATATCAGTCTAGTAAAAGATATCTTACATGCTATCATAATGTCTAATCTTTATCCTTGAAATTGATAATTTTTGCATTTTCTCATTAATCTTGTGAATGACTTATGCATTTTGTAAATCTTATTGAATTAGTGAATACTGGCTTTGTTGATTTTCTCTATTTGGGGAATACTCACTGCTTCACTAATTTATGCATATAACTTAACATTTCCTACTCTGTAATTACATTAGGCTTATTTTGATCTTTCATTTCTAGCTTTTTTCTAGAGTAAAGATCAGAGCATTGCTTAAAATGAAACATTCCCTTGGGCCAAATGTGTCACGGCTGATGGTCAAGGCGGCTACTTCCCACATGGCTGACTGTATGAATTATTTGGGTACTATGCCGGGCAACTTAACAAACTTGTTGAGTACATGTGTGTACATTCCAAAAATTATTAAATGAGAGAAAAATGGAAGAGAAAGGATTATGGTGTTATCATTTGCCCTAGTGGGTGCTTTCTTATTTTCCCTTTCTATCTTCCTCTATTACTCTTCAACTAGATGTGCCCTCTGCAAAATGAAAAAAAAAAAAAGTATAGCATTCCAAAATTTTTATTTTATATAGATTGTTTATATATTTGAAGTAAAGAAACATATAAATAGCTATTATGTGAGGCAAGGTATATTTTATGCTATAAATATGTATGAATACAATTTGAAATTAAGAATTCTGGAGTCACAGAGTAGGCTTTATCTAGCTTCATCAATCTGTATTAATACAGTTGAACTTGAGAGCATGTTTAAAAACTGACTAGATATTTTTTCCCCATAAAATGGAATGGATTTATGAGAGTTTCAAATGAGGTAATGATTACAAGTGATGTGTGACTATCCCAAAAGCATACACAGCAAACAAATTTTATGTTTATAATCTATATATCCTTATATGACAATATTATTATATCTAAGCCTATGTTTGCAAAAGTATAAATGAAAATTTGCCCATGACTCAATTCACGAGTAAGCTTTTCATTATTTAAAAGCTATTTTATTGAAACATTTTAATAGTACAGAAAAATATTAAAAATAATAAAATGAACACCTTGTTTCTGTTATCCTTATTTCCAAAAATATCTTTTAAGGAATAAAGTGTTAGAGATTTAGTTGAAGTCTTCTCAGTACTCTCCCCCCAGTTTCATTCTTCCATCTATCTTCCTATGGGCAATCCTATTAAAACTGGTATGTCTAATTCTCATCTGTATGTTAACACCTTTGCTGTGTGTTTTTTTAAAGAATTATTTTTTTACTTAACTCCATTTATTTGTTTGTTTGTTTATTTATTTTAATTTTACCACAGAGGGACAGAGTGAGAGACAGAGAAAGAGTGAGTGAGAGAAAGCAAGAAAGCAAGCAGCCAAGTCCAGGTCTCAAACCATGGTTGGCCATGTGGGAATCCAGCACGACAACCATCACGCCACCTGCTGGTCACCCTTTCGTGTGTATTCATAAACTATAGAAAATTAGCCTATATTTGTGTTTTAAACTTTTAATTAATCATCATCACACTGTACATAAATCATTCTTGAATAATATTTTAAAATTCAATATCTTTGGCATTTATAAATATTAATAATATAGCTATTTTTCATTCCCATTAACCAATTGTTTGTTTTTTATTTCTTTATTTAATTAGCAAGAGAGAGAGAGTGAGAAAGAAAGAAACAAGCACTCCTGATATGGTCTTACACCATAGTCCTGCCCCCCAACCTTTTTAGCCAGCTGGAATCAGGGGCACTTGTGCACATGTCTGACATATACAGGTTGATCTGGGAACAAGATCTAGATCATCCATATGGCTTCCAGCATTCAAGAGCATTGCGCCACTTCTGTGCCACCACCATGGCTGGGACTTGAACACCCTTTATAATTCTACTGTGTTATTATACCATTATGAATTTACTCATTCTCCTATCGACAGATTTAGATTGCTTCAGACGTAGAGTGAAAAAGAACTTTTATGTCTCTCGTAGTTCATACCTGATCATTTTTTTAGTTATCTGTAAGTAGATATATCTGCAAGTAATCTTGATGGGTTGTAAGATATGCCTTATTGTGTGTAGTACACATACTCCATATTTGTAATGTCATTTGAAAAACTATCCAAAAAACTCATATTTTAAATATACTGACAAATAATAATTAGATTAACTTTATTTCCTGTGTAATTTAAGAGCTTAAGTAACTAGGACTTTATATATGCAAAAATATATCACTACGACCCAGTTAGCTATATACCTATTTTATAATTAGAACTCTTAAAAATGCCCTCTCAGCATAATTCCTACAAGTTAAAAGCCCCTTTTATTATACTTGACATGTCACATTTAAATACACATATAAGGATTTCTTGGCTTAAATGAATAACAGCATTTGAAATACAGACGGGCCAACTGTATTGTATTTTGGAAGTGCTGAATTACTTTGTCATGTATTAAATTACTTACTCTGAATCTTCCAATTATATTGAAACACCATCCTTCATTAAGACAGCTGATGCTGAGCAGTCTACAGCGGTCAATTACTTTCTCACAGTTTTCCCCAGTAAATCCTGGCATACAACTGTAAATACATTGGTGTAAATTAGGAAACTTGCAATTTAAATATTTTCAAAAAGTCTATTAAACATCTTCTAAAAACAGAGATGCTTTCTTTAAAGCATATGCATGTATTATTACAGGACATTTTAAATAATTAATATTTTTCTAGAAAATTATTTTCTTTTCTAAGAGGAACAGACTTATTTGGAGAGAGTTTGTGCAAACTACATTTTCTTTGTATTGTCTTCATACTATCTTTTCACAGTTTGAAAGTACAATCAACTTTGGCTTAAACTAATATGTAACAGTAAAACATAGGTTTTAGAAAACTATTGAAGTAATGAGACCATTACTGAAATGTGAAAAAAAAAATAAAAGATGACAAATGAAAAGTTTAATGCTTTGTAGAGTCATTAGATACTGCTGATGTGCTGGCAGGAGTTAACGATGGCACAAATTAATCCGAGACATATTGGAGAGTTACAGTGGCCAGTAATGGTATGGTTGTACTTCAACTAATTATGGGACTTTCGTTTGTTCGTTATCATTTCTGCAATTTTATTTTTTCTTCAGAAAGCAATCTTCAATCCAGTTTACTGCAGTTTATTAGCTTAAATCTGTAAGTTTCTGTTGTACTCATTCTTCTTACTTTGGGAGAAATATTCCTACAACCTTAAATTATATTCAGTAAACTTTCTATTATAAAGTGAATTAGGCACCAAATGAAAGAACAGGTTTCTCTAAAGTAAGCACCAAGATTTTGATATTTCTTGAGACTTAAATCTGTTACAAGATGCTTATTAATGAAGTGAATTCAACCATTTACTTATTATTTTAAAGTTCTCATAAAAAACGTAGGTAATTTTATATAAGATGGCAACAAAGTCTGTGTTGACACAGTTTAATTGAAATAGCATCAACAAAATGCCTTAGTAATTTTCCAGTTTTGCTGTTTGAGGTGCATGGCTTCACACTTTCACACTGCAGAACTGAAGCGGTCCCTCATTCATAGCAGGAGTAACCATTCATTTCTACAGCAACTATTATGTGCCAGTCACTAAGCTAATTGCTTTCTTACAATTTACTTATTTTCTCATTCAATCCTTCCATGTCTTTTATGATGTGTATCATAATCACGATGTTATAAATGAGACACGCAGTCAGAAAATTAAGTTAGTTTCTTTGGTCATATCATTGATTAAGCTTAGCTATTTGTAAAATTAAATCTGGCCAGATTTAAGATGTGCTGTACCCTGTTACTCCATAAATAAAGACTTGTTGAGATATATTTACCTCATAGCTCTCCAGTTACCTGGAGATACAGACATCACTCTTAATTATACCTTTTTGTTTGTTTGTTTGTTTTGTTTTGTTTTTGTTTTTAGAGGTTTTTACTATAGGGCACATGTGCTCACCAGAAAGACAGAGAGAGACAGAGAGACAGAAAGTGAGAAATCATGCCCCACAGGGAGGATGGCCACTCCGAAATCCATGCTCCTCCATTCTTCTCTCTGGATCTTGGGCACACACGCACATGTGCCCAGCATGAGTTTAAGCCACTGGGTTTGGAGCTTGAACCACGTTCGACTCATGGGAATCCCAGTGACAAAGTCATTATGCCAACTGCTAGTCCAAATTCTATCTTGTTTTTAAAAGTACTATTTTCATCCCTTCTTACTGAGAATGAAGAGCATGAGAATATCCCAAAAGTCCGGTGAGTTGTAGCTGTCATTTCTGTTTTCTTTCAGAGTTGGAGTAGACTAAATTGGCCAAGGATAACTAAGGATGTGTATGGTACTTGGGCTTCATTTATTTTGTAGTGTGGTTTCCAAAAAGCAGGATCAAGGATATAAACTACATGAAGAAAAATATATTCAGACATTAATGAAAATGTGGTCAGCAGTTTGGTACATGAATAATGGCCAGCCCCATCTCTGAGAAGTATGCCTAAACAAAGTGGTTTTCATTGATTCTGAACAATGGAGTCAAGGAATTTGTTTTCTCATTATATACCAGAAAAGAGGCAGAAAAAATTCCACAAAGAAAAAAGTTTCCTGTTGAGTTTCAAGCAATGACCCCTCCTCAGTTCCTCCACTACTACTGGTCTCTTAAAATCTAAGAGGATCTTTCAAATTTCATACCAAGGAAAAGATATCCTATTAACACAGATTGCTTTGAGGAAAAGAAAAACCATAAATAGTATTTTTTTTTTCTCATGGAAGAATGGAAAATAAAGAAGGCAAAAGTAAAGAAAATAAAAATAAAGAAAATAAAGAAGGCAAAAGTATATATATATATATACATATACATATATATACACATATATATACATATATATATACACATATATATATGTATATATACATATATAGAGAGAGTTTCAAATAGAAACAAGATTGGTCAAATAAGTTAAATAGAAGTGATTTCTTTCTATGAGATACATGGTAGATGACAAGGCAATTATATAATAGAGACATAGGGAAGTGGTTTAGTGATTAAAAATAATTAAAATGGAGCCAGATGAAATAAAAAAGGAATGTTCTGAAATAAAAGTGGGTTAAAAGAAGTTAATCAAATATAAACAATAACATAAGAATTGTCACCACACCACTGTTTTTAAAACATCAAAAAAGAAAAAAGGAATGAGTCCTAGGGTATTAATGAATAGGAGAGTAACTATAGCTATTAACAGTACAGTGTATATTTTTAAATAGTAAGAAAGGATCATGGATGTTCATCATACAAAGTGATAATGATAACTGTTAGGAACGGCAGGGTTGTTTACTGTCCTGATTTGTCCATTCTTTAGTCATACTACTGATCAAAAAGGATCGTGTTCATGATTTTGATTCTCATTGTATATTTAATAAGTTATTTTATATAACCATTTTAATACAAGTATTATTTTATTATTATTATTATTTTGCCTACGTAAAGGTTAGATATTGTATAATATTATTAATCTTTTTTTTTGGAGAGGTTTTTGCTATATAGTGTGCGTGTGCTCACCAAACAGAGAGAGAGAGAGACAGAGAAACCGAAAGTGAAAAAACCCTCCGGGGGGATGGCCACGCTGCAATCCCTTCTTCTCCATTCTCCTCTTGGGATCTTGGGCGGGCACGCACGCACATGCGCCCGGCGTGAGTTTAAGCCACCGGGTCCGGGACTCGAACTGTGATCAACTGTGTGGGAGTCCAGTGACATAGCCATTATGCTAACTGCTGGTCCCTAATATTATTAATCTTGAAATGAGAAGAAATGTTCTCAGGAAACTGAGCAGTTCTTCAGGACTAGACGTCTAAGTACATGGGAAGTATTAAGAAATGAGACAAAAGCTTTTTACCAAGATGGTGCCTAAAGAGAAGAAGGAAACTCCTGCCCATCCCAAAGTTGAAGCTAAAGCAAAGTCTTTGAAGGCCAAGAGGGCAGGGCTAAAAGGTTTCCACAGCCACACACACAAAAAGAATACCCATAAATCAACCACTTTCTGGAGTCCCAAGACTCTGAGGCTGTAGAGGCAGTCCAAATATCTTCGAGAGAGTGCCCGCAGAAGAAACAAGCTTGACCACTATGCCATCATCAAAGACCCCTGACCACCGAGTCTGCCATGAAGAAGACAGAAGGTAACAACACACTTGCGTTCATTTTGAATGTCAAGGCCAGCAAGCACCAGATCAAACAGGCTGTGAAGAAGCTCTATGATATCGATGTGACCAAGGTCAACACTCTAATCAGCCCTGATGAGAGAAGACTTATGTGCGACTGGTTCCTGATTATGATGCTTTGCATGTTGCCAACAAAATTGGGCTCATCTAATCTGAGTACAGCTGATTGACTCTAAATACACACTTTCATTATTAAAAAAAGAAAGAAAGAAAGAAAGAAAGAAAGAAAGAAAGAAAGAAAGAAAGAAAGAAAGAAAGAAAGAAAGAAAGAAAGAAATGAAGCAAAATAAAGAACAAACTCATGGTGGAGAAAGAAAGAAAGAAAGAAAGAAAGCAAAATAAAGAACAAACTCATGGTGGGATTTTTGAGAGTTACCCAAATTCACCACTTATCAAGATCCTGGGAGTAAAAGTCCAAGGACCCCTAGTAGAGAAATAATGGAAATAATGAAATAAACTACTAACAAATACAGAAAAAAATAAAGAAGCCTTGTATGAATCAACAATAATTTGCCATTCAAGTAAATATTACTAACTTAAATCTCTTTAACTGAAGCTCAAAAACAGAGTGAGTTGGGACCAGCAGTTAGGTAATGGCTAAGTCGCTGGACTCCCGTGTGGTTGACCAGAGTTTGAGTCCTGGACCCAGTGGCTTATACTCATGCCGGGCGCATGTGCATGCATGCCCAAAATGCTGAGAGGAGAAGGTATTGTGGTGTGGCCATCACCCCTGGGGAGTGATTTCTCACTTTCTATCTATCTATCTGTCTCTCTCTCTTTCTGGAGAGCAAATGCGCCCTATAGCAAAAATCTCTCCAAAAAAATTTTAAAAAATGAACAACAACAACAACAAAAAACACACAGAATGAGTGAGCAAATTAGAAAGTTGTCAGAATAACATTTAGATCTGAGATCAAGCTGAAGGTAGTGTTCATCAGCTCAGCTCTGAAACTATTGTCCTGTTTGTCAGTATCCTTAAGTATGTCCAAGACCTCAAAAGTGAATGATGTTGCTTAAGTTTCTACTTCTCCTTGTAATGTGGTTATTTCATAAATTCAAATTCTCCAAGCACTCAACTTCAAGCACCTAACTTAATGTTTGCTCTATGAAGACAGTTGTCATTCTGTCTAAGACATTTCTGAGACTCTGTTGTTCACATTACCACATCTATTCTACCACACCAGGTATGACAATACCAGTCAGCCTAGTGTATTTCCCAGTTCCCCTCTGACCATGGGCTTTGCTATCACCAGAGAAAACAACTATTACTAAAACATACTGTGTAAAGTAAGTAGAGAATTGCTCTGCCTTCTTGAAGACCCGTACATTGATAAGTTTCTCAAGAGGAGTTCTACAT